GTCGAGATAAGTCCTCATGTGATAATCATAGAGGAATCAGCCTTACGAGCATAGTCTCTAAAATCCTAGGCTCAGTAATCATGAACAGACTAAGCCGAACTCGGGAGGAACAAACGAGGGAAAATCAAGCGGGCTTTAGGCCAGGTAGAGGGTGCATAGATCATATCTTCACTCTCCGACAAATCCTAGAACATAGACACACTTTCAGGCGTCCAACAATTGCCGTATTTCTTGACTTGAAGGCGGCCTTCGACTCCGTGGATCGAAAGGTACTATAGCAATGTTTGACTGTGAAGGGAGTTCCAAGAAAGTATATTGCACTAATCAAGGCACTCTACTCAAACTCACGTAGCCGTGTAAGGGCTTATGGGGAATTGTCATCTGAATTGATAACAACCAGTGGTGTCCGTCAGGGATGTTCACTTTCCCCATTTCTGATTAACTCCATCACAGATATGCTAGTGGAAGTATCCTTAACTGAACTTAACGACTTAGGAATCGACCTGTTACCAGGGAATAGACTAATGGACTTAGAATATGCAGACGACATAGTCCTGTTAGGGGAGGATGCTGACAAAATGCAGTCTTCTGAACACCTTGAGCAACAATCTTCATATGTTTGGCATGTAATTCGCCCCTGTGAAATGTAAGATGCTGCTACAGGACTGGACTACGTCAACTCCTAGCTTAGTGATAGGGAGTGAAGTGATACAACATGTTGACCACTTCACCTATTTGGGAAGGTGTATCAGCACAAACGGATTGATTGGTGACTAAATCTCAGCATGGATCCAAAACGCTCGAGCCAGTTTCGCTAAGTTACACCATCTCTGGCGTAGGCGTGAAATCCGGCTATCAACCAAGAGACGTGTGTACTGCTCAGCAGTTCGCTCCATCCTTCTCTATGGCTCTGAAACATGGCCAATACGAGTTGAAGACATGAAAAGGTTGTCTGTTTTTGACCACAGATGTTTACGATCTCTCTGTCGCGTTAGGTGGCATAATAAGGTAAGTAATGTTGGCGTTAGGCGTAGAGTGTTGGGCAAAGAGGGAAAATCACTCGAAGAGGCTATAAAGTTACATAGATTGAGATGGCTAGGTCAAGTGCTGCGCATGCCTAACCATCGTCTCCCCCGACCGGCATTACTAGCTGATATAGGTGCAGGTTGGAAAAGAGTAAGTGGTGGCCAAACAAAAACATGGCATCAATCAATCCATGAAACCCCTGACAGTTAAACTGAGTCAGGTAGGGAGGGAGATGCAGACTTCCGGGTTGGGGCCCTCGGGACTCTAAGAATCAATGAAGGCTGGAAACAATAGGTGACATGGCTCAAAATCGTTGTCAATGGCTTACGCAGATGTATTCAGTCTCTGTAATCTTTCATATTCGTCTCTACCATTGCCCATTCTGATTCACTCTTATACTTGTCAAAACTCTATTGATTCTCTTCACTCATTTTCTTGTCTAGCTTTGTGTGGTATTTGGAACGTGGCAACTGGAACTGCTGCACTTCGGTGCCAGGTTCTATGTTGAATCCTGACAGACAGACAGAAGTCCAAAGTCAGGGATAGAATATATCACCATGGAGAAGTAGGTCGTCATACCGAGTATTTCAGTTTTGAAACCAGCCAGTAGAATAAGAGGTGACTTCATCTTTAACTGAGTTGTGAAACAGTGGAATAGAAAATAAAAGCTATATAATATAAAATAGTTAATAAAGACTTTGTTTTTATCCTATCTTCTCAAATAAACCTGAACTGTATGAGTTGTATTACATCAAACTAGAAAATATTCGTCTAATCAAAAAGCATAACTTGTGAGCTGTTACTTTCGATCATTTTATGAGGAGGATTCGGAAGAAAAGGAAAGGAAACACGACCGAAGTGAAGTTTCAGTGAATTTCGCTGAATCTATTGCTATAAAGCAGCTTTAATCTAAATGCTGAATACAGAAAGAAATCGCGATTAATCTCATTTTAACCTGGTGACATTTATTCTGCTTACTATAGAATAGTGCTTCCTGTTTTCTATTACCATTATTATGATGATGAGCGGTTTCACACCGACTGATCTTAAATCACTTAATTCGCTTCACATTATCTTACAAACATTTCTCCTGTACTTTACTAGTTGATTAGTTTTTATCCTTAAACTATTCGTTACGACTTCTCAAATCCTCTTTCAAAATTAAAAGAACTGTAACTATTTTCCCTTCTTTTCATTTGTATTGACTATGAAACCGCATTTCAGTCACTTTGGTTCCCTGAAAATTCCGTTTTTATGTTTAATTTTAGTGTAATAAGAAGTATATACTCTTATTTCAGCGATTCTGTCTATATTGTAGGCTGTCTGTGACTAAAGGGAAAACTCGAGATAAAATTTCTATTTTTTATACTGATATTCCTGTTCTTCTTGTCTTGAAGATGAATTTTATGAATTCTAAACACTTACTGTAGAGACTGCAGAAGCATGGTTTCTTCTCCAGTACCCTGTTAGCTATCCATCTAATAAGTGAAAGGCAGGCTATGTGAAAAAGACGTGGATTGTAAGTGGTATTGATATAAATATTTCTCCGCGATTGATTTCGAACTTGTGCTAATAACTTGAGGTAACAAGTAATGCTTTAAGCCTTCTCAGCGCCTACTTAAATCGTTGGGCTACATAAATTTGGGGCCAGCATAACTGACAAGCAACCTCGTTTCCATTGCTTACTGCTTTAACCATAGAATTATGTTTTTTTGGTTACAGCTTGATGCCACACCGTATTTTCAGTACAAGTATGGAACTTTCAGCATGGATATCGGTAGCCCAAATTTTGCAGGCCGACCATAGATATCGGGTGTGCGTCGGCAGGGGATCAAACCACAGATCATGTGCATGATCGGCGAGAGTCCTATCCACTGTGTTTCTGGATCACTGCATGAAATCACGTGCACTTGCATTTGTTGTCAATGAAGTGTAGAAAATTTCTGCAGGGAAATGAAGGATAACATCGTAGATGTTTGCAGATTACTTCAGATACATGAAGACAGTTTCACTCAATGTACTTCGCTATACTGTTTTAATTAGGGACCATGAAGGAACTGTATGTATTTTGCAACTGAAATATACTGGAAAATTCTGTGCTGTATGTAAACACATTGATTCTAGAATAAATCCCTTATTATTATTGTTGTTATTAGTCTTAAAACGTAGAATTTTGTTTCTCCAAATCCTTGGTAATATCTACCTGTCTACTCAGTTTTCTAACTATAGGAAGCCAATGCAGAGTAAGACAATAAATTACGATTATTTTTTCCTAACACGTTGGACAATGCTCTTCTGAACACCTTGAGCAGCAATCTTCGTATGTTTGGCATGCGATTCGCCCCTGTAAAATGCAAGATGCTGCTACAGGACTGGACTACGTCAACTCCTAGCTTAGTGATAGGGATTGAAGTGATACAACATGTTGATCACTTCACCTATTTGGGAAGGTGTATCAGCACAAACGGATTGATTGGTGACTAAATCTCAGCATGGATCCAAAACGCTCGAGCCAGTTTCGCTAAGTTACACCATCTCTGGCGTAGGCGTGAAATCCGGCTATCAACCAAGAGACGTGTGTACTGCTCAGCAGTTCGCTCCATCCTTCTCTATGGCTCTGAAACATGGCCAATACGAGTTGAAGACATGAAAAGGTTGTCTGTTTTTGACCACAGATGTTTACGATCTCTCTGTCGCGTTAGGTGGCATAATAAGGTAAGTAATGTTGGCGTTAGGCGTAGAGTGTTGGGCAAAGAGGGAAAATCACTCGAAGAGGCTATAAAGTTACATAGATTGAGATGGCTAGGTCAAGTGCTGCGCATGCCTAACCATCGTCTCCCCCGACCGGCATTACTAGCTGATATAGGTGCAGGTTGGAAAAGAGTAAGTGGTGGCCAAACAAAAACATGGCATCAATCAATCCATGAAACCCCTGACAGTTAAACTGAGTCAGGTAGGGAGGGAGATGCAGACTTCCGGGTTGGGGCCCTCGGGACTCTAAGAATCAATGAAGGCTGGAAACAATAGGTGACATGGCTCAAAATCGTTGTCAATGGCTTACGCAGATGTATTCAGTCTCTGTAATCTTTCATATTCGTCTCTACCATTACTCATTCTGTTTCACTCTTATACTTGTCAAAACTCTATTGATTCTCTCCACTGATTTTCTTGTCTAGCTTTGTGTGGTATTTGGAACGTGGCAACTGGAACTGCTGCACTTCGGTGCCAAGTTCTATGTTGAATCCTGACAGACAGACAGACAGACAGGACAATGCTCCAGAAGGCGACAGTGGGCTTACGGAGTTCGCATAAGCTTAGTAGTCCCAGTTAAGCCATATAGAAGAAAAGGTTTTCAGTGGACAGTTACACTTTTCGGTGTGAATGATATGGCTGAAAAAATATAACTCTTCACTGAATGCCACCTCTTTTAACACCAATGGATCGTGGTGTTTCAAGATTTTATAATGTGGATTTTCACAACACCAAATAATGATACTTAAGTATTCCGCGATTATTAGTGCATCTGGACATCAACAATTAGGATGCATGCGAGCTCAGTCAATATCATTGTCACATCAGTCCACACTTTCTGTGTGGAAGATCCAGAATTAGAACCATTATATTTTATTTCAGACGACGTTATACTTATCAACAGTCTTATTTCTTTAGAGGTAATAATATTAAGGCTTCACAGATTCATATGACAGCCGATCATAACCAACGTTTATTCCAAAGCAATAATGATATTTTCGAGGTGTGATTTTCATAGTACAGCTGGTAGAATATCAGGTCATCAGTCTAAAGTACTATAATTCAAATCTACTCCGGTAGCAGTTTCTCATCCCTAGTTCAGTGATACCCTAAGACAATAACTAGTCTTATTCCTCTCACTCTCTTTTGTGTAATTCTGTCACACTTCAATCCATTAAGTTTTGAAAAATCCATGCAATTTTAGCAAGAAAAAAAGGATAACACAAATTCATAAATCGTTTAATGGAATATGTTATAACACGCGTTTTATTAGATTAAATCAATAGAAAATTGAGTAGTAAGAAAATTAGTTCTTCACAAAATAATTCACACTTTTTAAAAATGTAATTTTACCACTGTATAGGTAAATTTCATTTTGAAAAGAGTATCTAAGCTTTTAATTTCTTCCTCCTTTTATTGTCACAACTTTGATCAATCTGTTCATGTCACTTCTGTGAAACTAAGTTGCACTATACACAACTTAAACATATGCTTTTCAGTAGTCTACACACACCATACTTGTCCTACTGGATAAAGTAATACCACCTGATTGGATCACCATAACCACTGTAGCCTCCATCTATAGGTTCACTTAAGATGCTTCAAATAGTCATTCTCCTTTATCGACATCCAATGAGATCTACACAATCAGAGGTTACAATTCTTGTCTTCTGATTATATGAAAAGCATTCTGTGTCTCCTGTTGATATCATGCGTCAGTCAACATATTCATAATTTTGATTTACTTTCTAAAGCACAATTTTTCATATTCCAAAAATTTCGTAGAAAAATAGAATTATAAACGTCAAATAAATGCATTACTATTCACAGCGAATGTTGATTTGTTTGTGAACATTTACTGCAATAATACAGTGATATTTATACACAGATTCTGTAAGAATTAAATGTCTTACAGAAAGGAGAAAACTTTGTACATTTTCTCAACAAAAAAACATATTTGTAAATAATAAAAATTGAGCGAAAAAAATTATGGGTGAGTACACTGTGATTGTTTTATACAAAAGAAGAAGTCAGTAATTGATTAGTTACAAAACTTTGTGTGTTTTAAGATGCTTGACACGTATATATATCAACCTTTGATGAAACTATAAAAGACTCTACAGACGCATAAACCGAGAACCACAAAAGTTGCCCCGACCAATCTAGATGATGAAAAGGAGGAGGGAAAATAAAAAAGAAGAGAAAATGTTTGTTTACTGTTAGGAGAATAAATGAAATAATTACTGTCTTTTAACGTCAGTTTTGAATTCCCCACTGGCTGATTATAATAGGACAAAATAACTAGTATCATATGATATGCCGGTTGCTATTATGCCTCAGTGACGTCTGAAAGAATTTGTATCTTTTAGTAAACATTTTAGGATAACTTATGAATGCATGCAAAGTAATGAACCTTAACAAAATATTAGTGGCCACCTAAGGACGATAAGAACGATTAGAACAACTAATTTGAGCATACGACTACTCCACTGTGCAGCTAGGTAAATAGGTCGTTACATGAGCGTACTTTTTTAAAATGAGTTAGTGAACACTATCCAACGTGGCTGCAAAATAGCCCTCTGGTTAAATTAAAAGCGCTACAATTGAACATCTCATCAACACCCGTCACAATATCACAACTGACTAATCATTCAAAGCCATACACAGGGGGAAAATAAATCTACAAAAGCCAGTGTGTGGTTCTGACTTCGCGAATCCAGCGCTAAATGTTTAAAAGTAATAAGTTCAACTTCTAGATTTCTGTGGATTCATCTCTGTCAGGATCCTTAGGCGATTTTTCTTTCGTTCCCTTCCCAGTTATGAAACCAAATACTTCATTTAGTTCATATCTGTCCACATTAAAAACTGTTTTACATATTACACAACCATCTTCTAATCATTATGTAATTCTGATTCGATGTCACTCATTGTTTCCTTTCTCCGTAATGTCTTGATGGCTTTTCTTCATGATCAAAATGATATATGATGTATTTACAAGCTCTTATAACTCGAAAAGTATTGCATGACATTTTTATTCACTTTTGGACTTTTCAAACAGCGACTTAAAGTTGGCAACGGCTTAAATCTTACAAGAAAAGTCTATGCTATCTTCATTTTACAATGAGACATATAGCTTCCCCATGATACTTACTAAAGACATGACATGCAAAACAGTGGAATAGTTTGACAAGTTGACTACCATTTAGTAATCACGTCACTTGATTAGAGTGTAAATCGTAGGAATTGTGTAACAAATTCTATTAACGAAACCAAGAAACTTAAAACATTTTAAATTGTTGGCTTGCAGAGATTTGATTGATTACAAGATTGAACACAAAGCGACTTCGGTTAGATAATCACCGGGAACCATGGAGGACTGGACAACTGTTCATGCCTTGTTTGAAACTCTTCACAAACGCAACAATTATCTCTGCATACAAACAACTGAAAATTAATCTAATGTTCAATAATGACCGAATACATAATGAATTTTCCCACGATTCTAGAGAGAAGTCACGAGCAGCAACAGGCTACCAAGCTAGGCACATCAACAGATACTCACCGATAAAATTCGATGGCGGCCCCGCAGTATAAGGCAAATAAGCAGGTGTTGAAATCAATGAAAACTAAGTCCCGTCCTACCTACTGAGTGGTCAACGAGCTTGCCTATGAGCCTGAATATCCATGTTTCGATCTCTGTTGAGGTCACGGGTTCACACTGCCAAAGAGTCTCTAACACGGATGAAACAGCTGTCCAGTACTCCCTGGTTTCCAGCATCTCTCCAAATGTAGTCAGTTCTCAATCAGCCTTACAAACTTAATAAACCATCTAGGACCAAAATAAATAGGGAACTTACACTGCTTTCCAGGGGATTTCCAAATCTGACAAGCAATAAAAACAAAAGAATTCATTAAATTTCTAACGTATTCATTCCTAGGACTGAAAGATCATTATGTTAATTAAGTGGCGACAAGAACTATTGATGAACAAGATATACAGTGAGTGAAATGATGGAAATTGTAATTTTCTGTGGTTTGCACAACTTCCATACATACAATGCATAGATATGTTCCAAATTAGGTTAGTAAATCACCATTTTCTCTTAAGTATCAACTACAATTCATTCATGTTGTCTACCAAGATTTAATGGTTTGTACAATGCAAAATTTCTGTAGATACACGATATCACAAATTCTACTACGCGATAATATTTTTCATAGTAAAGTATACATTTAAAATACGTTAATATATGCACTCACCGAAAGCTTTTGTAATGCGTCTCTCTTCCACGTGTGGTTCCCCTGTCGACTTTTCTTGATTCGATGCTGCAGTTACTAAAATTAGAAGGACACAGAGAAAACTGGCATGACTCTTTTGCAAGCATTACTTAGGCTTCCGTCGAAAGAAAAGTTAGTTCAGGCTGCAGAACTACTAAATAAAAAAGCACTGCATGACTATTTATCAATGTCAAAGATTGTAAACAATTTTTTATATTAGACAAAATTATCTCGCTTAGTTAACAACATGTTCTAGGGTTTGAAAAGAAGCAAGGTTGAATGTGTGGCTAGCAAACTCAACCACGCAACGAACATTACAATAGCTATGGAAACTTTGAAGTGCAGAAAAAATACACTTATTCTCGGCTGGAAGCAGAAAGACTCCTTAATTGGAGAACTGATGATACCGGCGGGTGAGAGCCTTCGAAATACCAATCAGATGATAGATTTTCTTTATATGATGCAAACAATAAGCATGAAGATATGGAATACCCTAACCGTTTATGAAGATTGCGATGCTGCTGAAACTGCAGAGCAATCAAGAAGATACACTATAGAAAGTGTTAGAAGTCTGTGGGAATGGATAGAATGGCTGTGAACTGTTTAAATAATTCACTGGAGAGTTATTAATCTCCTGTGATCACCCAACCCATAACAACGGGTACGCTAATGGCACAGTTGTCATAATGTGAGTAACAGTGTCAAAGATTGTCATTCAGTGGGAACCAACATCCTTCAGAATCATGACTGCAGGATTCAGCCCAAAAGGCAGGCAGTTTGCAGCTATACAATATCACCCTCCTGAAAGCAACTCAGAATAAAAAAGATAGAGGACTTCTACAAAAGACGAAGTTCTTTTCACAAACTTCCGCAGAGCCAGTAATTAATTGATTTGAGGCAGCGTTTTCAACCAAAAGGATATACACAAAGTGACGTTGGTTTGCAGCTAGATATCAAGAAAGTCGAGACGCAGCCTGATGGAAATAAAACCGATAAAATCGATTTGACAGTCTTCAAAGCAGCCAGAGACATATCAGAATTTCAGTTCAACACTTAGAAACAGAAGAACAAAGCTACAAAGGATGGCTTCTCAGCGATTGTTAGGAAAACGTCGGAGACACTAGGCAACATCACTGAAAAAATATACCTGGAAGAAAACTGCAATACTGAAGATCATGTGACCAGCTGGAAAGGACAAGCGACAAAGAACTCTGACAGTATACCAGCTAACGACCCATTTATTGCTCAAAGAATACAGAGAAGGAAATGGACATGAATATGAAATACACAGAATAGACTGCGGAGTGACATCACACGCAAGCCCCTCAATATGCAGCCCGAATTAGAAATGACGAGTTAGACCTCGCTTCATAGTTAACATGGTGGAGACTGTGTGAACAGGAAGTAAAATCATGTGAGGACTCATGGAGCCAAGTGGAGGTGTTGTCAGAGGACCTAGTGGAATGAAAATGAACTAACACACGTTGCAATTATAAATCATGGGTTGAACAGCGACAATAATAACTAGAGATGCTAAAGGTTTAGTGGAAACATTATTGCACAAAATGAAGAATTAATTAACGAGTATGGAGGTTTTATCTTAGTTTTAATTTAATAACAAGCGACATTTTTTCCTGAGTCATCAGAAAATGCAATGGATTTAATTTGCCTTCCAGCAAAACCAATATATATATATATATTTATGTATATCTGATTGTGTAACAACCAACACTAACCAGAAAATCATAGATGAAGATTAAGTATGATATCTTTAGAAATGCCTAAAATATTCTAATTGAACAGTTTAGTTAATAATTATCTTCTGGCATTGGATGAACTTTGTTGAATTCAGTAAAATAATATGAAGCCATTTAAGAAGAAAAAGTATGTTAAAATTAGTTATCGCGTGATCTTTAAAATTAATGACCTGACTTTAGTAAGAAAACAGAAGAAAAAACAAATCAGAGTTAGTAGTTATCGTCTGAAAACACGATTTGAGTTATCAGATTTTAGCCTAATGACTAAATATTTTTTTAGTGTTTCCATAGGTTATATTCTTCATTCTGATCATTGGTGATATTCAATGTCTCCTCCTAAAGTGCATTGTTTCGCGTCGTGAAGAAATCCACAATGAGAATGGTTACTTTCCTCTTAGATAAACCTGAGTTACTTTCGTCTTTAATTTATCACAGAGGAAATGATTTACTTGAAGACTGCAGATATGTCTTGTTGACTGGTGAGTGCCTAAAAGCGTGCAATCTAGGCCCAAGGCTTCTTATCGATTGCCTTCAATCATTTAACATCAATAATTCAGAGTGATGGTAAACCATTTGAGTTGGTGGTCACAGTGCAAACTTCACTGGTAGAATTCAGTCTGCACAAAAAGAACAGCTAAGCGCATGTTATTAGTTACTACTTAATGTTCAATCTAAACACCCATCTTCTTATTATACAGTGGCCCGAGGAAACCATTGCTGTTACATTTACCTCAGTATTACCTGTGTTACTCTAAACTTTACTTCTAGCTATTTAAATACTTCAGTAGATTTCGTTTGATAGTCATCTACAGTTTCATAAACACCATGAGGTATATGTGGTGGGTCAAACTCTCTCTCTCTTTATGTATTATAAATATATATATACTTTGATTGGACACTAGTAAATAGTGTGATGTGCCTAATCCTTTCTTCAGTGCAGACTGAATTCTATCAGTCAGGTTCGCAATGTGACCACCACTCTAGGTAGCTCGCCATCACGGTGCACTATGAACTGTTGCTATGAGATGGTTAAGTGCAATCACCAGAAAGTCTTGGAACTATGTTTTGTGCTTTTCGGCACTCAACAGGCAGCAGGGCGTATCTGCAACCTTGAAGGAACTCATGCCCCTTCTGAGATTCGAAGCCGCGTCACCCAGTGCTGCACTCAAAGAAGTTACCACTGAGCTATGTATATATATATATATATATGTATGGCTAGTAGGTGAAATATCCTCATGATACTGAGCTATTACTTAAAAACTGTATTAAAAAGGTACCCTAATCAGCTGGTTTCCAGTCTTTTTTTTTCTTTTGAGTATTCTTTCCTTGTACCTTTGGTTCCCATTTTTTTTACAAAAGATGTTCTATTCTTAGACAAAAGTCACTTGTTGCTGTTAACAAATATCGCAATAGGGTATGTGAAGTATACTTGAGAGATACATATGTAAAATTTTGAATTCAATAAGTAATTAAATAAATAAATAAACTTAGCTAGTCCAGATCCCTTTCTGAGTGCCATTGTTATCTATTTCATTTAATGATTTTATGCACATATGTATTAGTTAAACAGTGAATCCTTCTCACTTAATTTATTGGTTGATCATGAAGTGAACGGTGAACTTTATGTTAAATCTATTTCTTTTATTATTCCTTTGCATTCCAAGTAGAACATTGGGTTGTAAGCTTGAGCTTAGGAGTTTCACCGGCACACTGGGATCTTTTTACGGGGTGAAGTCTTCAACCTCATGCCCAAGTTTCACTCTTCTTTTAAGATCTTACTTACTACTAGCTAAACGAGATTCATGACTGCATCAACAAGGAACTGAACCCCAGAAAATTTCCGGGTCGTGATAATTATTCAAAAAGGAAAACACATCAAACAAGCAAAAAGCAAAAACATCAAAAAACAACTTACCTAGTAGTGGCAAAGCAAATGAGTTTTTGTGGAAGACAGTTAAAAATACTTCTTGTTCTTTGTCTTCAACACCTTTATTGAATAAATAATTTGAGACATTGGTGGATGATATATGCATTTCAAATGATCCAGTTGAAGTTTTTTTAAAGATCAGTACGACATCTTTTTTACCACATGGTTTATCCTCCAATTGCCACTGCACCTGGGCCATTCTTTCATTCCTTACTGATAGATTGGCTTTTGAAATTCTAGGTACTGTTGAAAGACGAAATCAGAGAGAAAACATATAAAACCCATATGAAAGTTTAATCAAATTACTTAAAATAGACGAATACTTACTTTTAAATAAGTATAAATATGGACAATTATATGCTTAAGTTAATTTTCAATTTTCATCCATGAATTAAATATTAAATAGTAGTGTGACCACGGAATGACTTCACTTATAGAATCGTGGAAAACCAAGAAGTACTGAATATATGTGTCGGCCTTGTTTAAGACCCTTCAGTGGAACTGACTAGGATCCAGTAGGCTGGGCGTGAAGACAGGCACACCAATGAATTTAGCTAGCTGTCAGGATTTTTGTCGCGAACTGACAGAAGCTAAAATTCGTGGACCACTGTATTCCATCCCAGTGTCTGTATGGTCAACGCCTTGTAACCTGAAGGTCCTGAGTTAGACCACTCATGGGTAGAACTTCTTGGTTTTCAATGGTCCTCTCGGTGAAATCAGTCCGTGATCAGACTTCATATGGATCAAATTCCGGCAAACCTACACTTGAAAATCTAATAGTAGGTAGGAAAAATATTAATTTTGAAAATAAGATATTAAACAATTTAATTATCATAATACAAGTGTTGGTTTATAGGGGCTAATTGGTTTCAAGCTTGCTCATGGATTGATATCGGTGAAAGAATCACTAAAAACCAAGACGGGTGAGTACTGGACATCTGTTTTGTCCCAGTTTGGCAGTACATAGCTATGATCTCACACCACAAAGATCGAATCCAGGACCTTCAAATTATAAGGCGAGCCCACTGAACTTTCAGTCACTGGGAAGGAATTCAGGCAATCAATAATGAAATCATGCTATAATAAAATAATGTTCTTAAACAAAAATTTACAATTTGCTAATATACATTTTTCTTTGGTCCTTAGTAGTGAATAAGTTGTATCCGTTAAATTTACAGTATGGTCAATAAGCTAGTTAGATATCTCTTTATTACAGTACACTTTTGATAGCAGTTAGATAGTTTGAGGTAGTGGTCAGTCGAAACTGAGAAAACTACGCAGTTTCTGAGTGGTTGGTTACTTTCTAATGAGTAATCAATGCTTCCACTTTGGTTTTACAAGAGACAAATCTTTTTGTTTGCATAACTTGGGAGTAACGTCTGTGACTATAGCAGTGGGTGATGTGAAGTTGAACTTCAGAGTAAAGATAAATTCAGACACGGTCGAGGATATCTTTTGCTAACAACCATGCTTAAGCATGACACTTTCGTCCTAGACTTTATGCCTGTTTTCTTCATACATTGAACATTAAAACGAGAAACAGCTATGAAAAAGAGCAGTATTTAATGAATGCATATATTTCGGTTGAACTCGTCAGCTGAATGCCCTACAGACATTGTCGTTTATAAAGTTGTTTAAGATTATGTACATACAAAAATACATGAACATTATTGCGAACTAATAAGGATCATCATGAGCTGGCATCAGTTAAAGAACCACTGGAAAACCTGAGAGTACTGGACAGCTGTTTTGTCCTAGTTTGGGACTCTTCATCAGTACGCACCCACCGGGATTCGAACCCAGGACCTTCTGGTTACAAGGCGAGCTCGTAGACCATTGAGCCACTGGATCTCTAACCGATGTCAGCTCATGATGAAATCCTCCATACAATTAAACAAAATCCCTACCAAACCAATACTTGAAAATAATAAGGATCAGTTTCAAGGAATATATGATCAATAAGCGATGAATGATCATCTGTTAATGTCATTATTAAGTCCATAATTTTTTTATGAAACTGTAGTTATTGTGGTAGTATTAATACAACTGTAAGAATCTAGATTTGATGATAGTGAAATACTAGGACACCTTGTAAGAAACAAATAAGCTTAACAAAAGTAAATCATATAGGACAAAATGACGAGATTTTAGTATGTCCAATTTAAACCTATGAGATAATGTGAATACTCCTCGCTAAGATTAACAGACAAATATGATTTTCGATTTGCACAGATCCTAAACAACCTAACAGTATTTCAAATAAACTAATAATAGTAATAATGGAAAAACTTTGTAAAGAGAAGATGGAAGCGCGAGGGGGGGCGGGGAAATTACAAAGATAAAATAAAAGTATGCTAACAAGGTAGATTTAAGCTGACTAATCTCTCCGTTTTTCTATACATAAGTCCAGCTCTTTTAATCTCATTGCTAAGGCTTCAACAAAACCAAGAGTATTGTGTCACCTTACTTATTAATAGCTATAAAGTTTATATTAAATGTTACCTTATGATCACAGTCCAATAATTGGCATGTGATGACTTTTCTATGCCTATCGGGAGTACTGGAAAGCTATTTGGGACAGTTTTCGGCAAGTTACAAGAAGAGGTTTCTTTGATAACTCATATACAGCGGTAGAATGACAGCCTGCTACGCATGTTGTCTGGAGTTCGATTCTCAGCTGATGAACTCTTAAACATGTATAATATATATATACATATGTATATATATATGAGCACTTTTAAGAAAAGAACCAGCTAACTTTCCTGCAGACTGACTGACTACATCTAGTAAAGAAATTAAGTAAACCAATAGCCTTATACTACTGTTTACATGACTATCCCTCCTACAAATGCAACCTGTTAATCATAAATCTGTTGTATACTTTTCATCTTTAGCAAAATTGAAACAAATTTTAATATATATAATAGCACTCACCTCGTTTGTAAGTTAAATATCGTTTTTCTTTCTCTGAAGTCAGCACTGACAAAGATATCTCTGATGCCTGCACTTTATATTTCTCATCTACACATGATGATCCAATAGCATTGAAAAGTGAAAATGTTGCCACCTTATTCATTTTTTCTGAGATTGATTGTCTGCTTAACTCGATTTCCAGATAATCAAATTTAATGAAAGCAAAAGATGTCCATGTAAAAACTAACTGATCAGTTCTTTCTTGCAAAATCCATAATGTTGACAATTTTGGTTTTCCTAAGCAAACATAAAAAAAATATTCAGCTTCTTACAATTCACACACAGCAAAGTAAAATCAAAGCTTCAGAACAAAGTCATATGCTTTTTAGAATAAATTTAAGTATAGTTGAACACTGTAGGTAAAAACGTGTTTGAGGAAAGAAGTCTAATACTTAATTATATCTTAAAATTATAGTAAACCTTATATTCACAACATAAATTTACTTATAAAGATTACGTTGTAGCAGACTTTTGAACCTACAGTATTATGATTATTTCCTTAGGTTCCAAGAGGAACATATATGCCTTCATCAGCACACCTCCATCTCATCGTATTCTCTGTGGCTGTCTTCACTTAGCTGCACGATTGTCCGTAGGCTTTCATTTCCTCCTCACATTGTCTCCTCTATATCACACTAAGACTGCCTCACCTAAACTGGTAGCTTCTCATTCAGGTTCAACTTGAAAGCCTGTCTGCCTGCCTCAACTATTTCCTCAGTGTCTGTCTAACCCATCTTCATTTTCTTCACCATATATATTGGAAGACTGATTGACTCTTAGTTAGTTCACTGCCTTTCAAACTTCCTTGCTGCTAATCCTTTCTGTTCAGCCATCTGATCATCAATATGGAGTGAAGACAGTCGCATCTACAGTAGTTCACAGTATTTTGTTTAGGATCAGTTTCATGCATGATTTAACTTCTAAGATTCGCATTCATTTTTTCGAATACATCTAAGAACAAAGCTCATCTCTCTGGAAGAGAATCCCTTATTTATTTGGTTTGTTTTGTTTGACACATTTAATAAATAATGAGGATATTTGAGATTGCCTTTAGTTAGCGCGCTTTTATTGATAATCATGAGTAATTCATGAAGAATTCCCATTGGGACATATAGAAAATCAAAATAAGGGATTCAGCGAAGAGACTCTTTTTAAAGAATTTATTATCAAGCTGTACAATCGTATATATATATATATATGTTTTTCATAAATTAAATCTAGTGAGGGAGCTGAATCATGGGTGTGAATACATAAAATAATAGTAGTATGAAATGCAATTAAAATGTCTGTGATTTAACCATAGTTCAGTGTGAAGTCACATAGGGAACAATTCATAGGATGCATAGAACTTGGAAGGGGTATGAAATTTTTTCGTTTTGTCTATTCAGTTTGTATACTCTTCCCCTATTACGCCAATCGTTATTATTACTATTCTCACTTTGAATTGTCCCCGGTATTATTTCACTCATTCCACCTGTCATTCTAAATCATTTCTGTTTTACAACGTCAAATTCTGTTGTCCAATTTCACACAGTGTTACGTAACGTTTTTATCTTTTATTATACTTGCCTATCAATCCTACAATCCCACACCCCTTCCAATGAATCATTCTATGTATGACATTGATCGTTTTGCTACTCCACACTGAACTTTGATTATAATCTCAAACATTTTAATTGCATTCCATATTTTCAGTATTTTATGTATTCACACCCATGATTCAGCTCCCTCAAAGGATATAATTTATGAAAAATATATAAATATATACGATTGTACAGCTTCATGATAAATTCTTTGAAAAGAGCCTCTTCGCTGAATCACCTGTTTCGATAATAAATAATGATTGAAAGCAGAATGAAAATCCAAATCACATAAGGATTCACACACCGATGATTTCTGCGTTATCCGACTAGTGATATGCCAGACTGCAGACTGAAATGATGATCTTGTAGGCGATTAGGTCTCAGTAGTGACAAAAATCAATTGTCTAGCTAGCATGTGTGTTGAGGACGTCAAATCATTTCAGTGAGTCGAAACCCAATTAGCTTTAATTTCCAAATTCTACCAAAAAAGAGATGCAGCCTGACAGATATTCAGTGTCTTTAGATCCAGCTCACCGGAATTCTTTAGTGACAGCATATAATGCAGATGTGGGGCATAAAATTTAACTGTGACACTTAGTGTAGTAGTATACTTCCAAACCTTTGGATCTGATAAGTTTACTTTCCACCTTTATTTAAAATGTTATGAACATTTTATTTAAAGTAAACAATCTGTATACACTAATGCACACAATTACTCATTTTTTTACTACGTGAATTTGTTGGAACTGACAAAATTCAGAAATATGCAAGAAGAAAAATTATAGAAAATGGTATTTGTTATAAAAACACCTACCTTTTGGTCCATTAGACGCTAAATAAACAGTGCCCATATTCGCAGAAATCATCTGTGGTAATATGACTGATAATTGTGGAGGAAAAAAGGAAAGCAAGAGAGGGAAAGGATAAGATGTTAACTCAACTTAATGATGAAACACTGAGTGTAAAACAATGACAAAATTCAATAATTCATTATTATTATTTATTATTCCCTTGAGCTCCATGTGGAATATAAGGCTTCAACAACACATCTCCACTATGTATGATTTTCTGTTCTCCTCTTCAACTGGGTACATGATAGCTTCTAACCTATCATCTCCTCCTCGCACAATCCCTTCCATGTCATCTTCGGATGGCGCACTCGTCGCTTCTCATTCTGGTTCCCCTCGATGGTCTCCTCAGCGTATGTCGAATCCATCTCCAATCGGCTCTTGGTTGATTTGTTGCCAGAGTTTATTGTTGCTAAGAATACCTATAGGGTTTTACAGTATATTTTTTAAGCTTTCTAAGTAATGTGGGGGACAGCTTTACAATAATCAGTTATAAATTATTGTGTACCGAGATATTATGAGTGCTGCGTAACCACAGTCTTCGCAGTTTTAATCCACAAGTTACTCGAAATACGTACACCTTCTGATTCAATTACTTCGATGAGTTTCTTTAAGCCGTTAAGAATTCATATGTCTAAAGTCTAATCTGAATTAGTTTCCATATGTTTTGATCAACACACTTAGAGGCAGACAAATACGTTGGTTGTCACTCGTCTCTCAGTTTCTTAATATTGACAAAAATGGCTTCGCTTGTGACTTCACAGTTTAGTAAATGAATTGTGATATTAGAGAGATAAAGCAAACTTTAAACATTTTAAATGCAATCCATCCTTATACTAAGTTATTCTTCACATCATATTACTGTGGACAGTAAGAAATTTTCCTATAAACACATATAACGTCAGCTTTCTTTTGCCCATGTTAGACTGTGGAAACGAATGTAATAAAAAGCCTATACAATTAGCTAAGTAAGCTAGGAATGTCATTACAATGAGTTAATATTCCACACCAGTTTTTACATAAGTATAGGACTAGAATAAATGAAAAGTGACCAAATAAAGCTGTCCTCTTCCACTCAGTATCCAAGATCATTAACCAGTTGTGAAAACACACGATATATATATATATTCTTCCATATTGATACATGTGGACAATTATGAACACCAATGTGATCGGTGGCATAGCGGTCAAGACGCTCGCCGACCATGCACAAGGTCCGGGGCTCGATCCCCGACCGACGCACTCCTTTACCTCGCTAAGCCAGAAATAATGCTGGTGAAGAGAAAAGGTTGGGCATGAGGCTAGCAACCCCATCCTGTAAAAATAAACACTGCTACAGAAACTTCAAGCCACTAGCTTGAAGCCGTATGTTCCACTGGGGAACGTGAAGAAAAACAAAATGTGATCGGGAAAATTTAAAAACTTTAAACCGTGAAAACACTGAAAATACTAAGGACTTTCTCGATACCTGGTACTTAAATGAATCAGCAATAAACAGTCACATTAATATAGATCAAATTTATCAATGCATAAAGAATAAGCCACACAATGAAAGCGTTCAAATTTCAAGTCAATATAAACGATTAATGCCAATGTAAATTAACAAGCAACCACAACAACCTGATTGTCAAGAGATACAGTTATATCACTCATGGAGAATTTTAAAAAGTTGTTTTTACACTAAAGCCTGCACTGAAGATATTGTCTGAAAGGACAAGGAGGGATCGGCAGTTGAACCATAGATAAAAGAGTTAACTACGTAAGTTAGATGTCCATAGTAGAGGTTAACAAACATTTTTCTGTTAGTCCATTGTATCTGCTTTAATAAACACATATGAATTTCTTGTTATCCTGTTCATATTTATATGTATGCACAGTGACCTCATCATGAAATAACGTACAAAGCGACAACTAACTGTTGTGTGTTCCGGAAAGTACGTTTTCAAATATTTTATTTATTTATTTATCTATTTATTTTGATTACAGCTTGATGCCACACCGTATTTTCAGTACAAGTATGGAATTTTCAGCATGGATATCGGTAGCCCAAATTCTGCAGGCCGACCATAGATATTGGGTGTGCGTCGGCAGGGGATCGAACCCCGGACCATGTGCATGGTCGACGAGAGTCCTAACCAAGTTCACATTTAAAATTTTGAAAAAATTGGGCAGTGGGTTTATGATATTCATTATTATAAAAGTTTTGTATTTCCCAATGAATTAGAAAGAGCAAACTGATTTTGATGTTTCTACTCACGTTTCGCTATTCAATTCTGCTAACAGCTTTATCAAAATAATATTAAACCAGAATATAAAAAATTTCAGCTTGCATTATATAGCAACTTAATCACGGTTCATCGAGCATGGGGTAATTTTTGTGTTGTCAAGTTGGCCAATTGGTAAAGATAACAAAACCATGTGTAGATTGTTGAATTTGATAAGTGTATGAAATTATAAAAGTGACCTAGTCCATATAAAAGACCAAATCCCTAAAGATTCTCTGTCTAACTGTGTCTGCAAAATAAAATGCTTAGAGTGTGATGCGGTAAACATCGGACAAACATTACGAGAAATTAAGATCAGAAAAAAATGAACACCACCGAGAAATCCAGTTGAACTAGAAAAGCTTGAAAAATCATCAGGCATACACTATAGAATCAGGTTACAAAACTGATTTTGACAATATTGAAATAATCGAGAAAAATTTCAGAAATCATAAAGAACTTCAATTATCAGAAACACTTCATACCAAATGGAATCCAAATTGTCTGATGAATAGGAATGATGGACTAAAACAGAATTTGACCTGGTAACAAAACCTCCCTCCAACATGAAATGACAAAATCAACACGAAAGTGATAAGCAATTTTTTCATATAAACACACGCTGCTTTTATAATTTTATACACTTATCAAATTCAACAATCTACATATGGTTTGTTATCTGTACCAATCGGCAAACTTGACAACGTAAAAATTACCCCATTCTGATGAAGAATGATTGCCTTGTTATATAATGCAAGCTGAGATTTTGTAAATTCTGGTTTAATACTAATACCTTGATAAAGCTATTAGCAGCACTGAATAGCGAAATGTGAGTGAAAATAACAATATCAGTTCGCTCTTTTTCATTCATTCATTGGGAAATACAAAAACTTTTATAATAATGATTAGTAACCGTCGATATGATAAAAAATGAATATTATCCTAGGCATATTGAACACATACTTATAATTTAGCGATTAATTTAAATAAAAAGAACTGAACATACTGTATAAAATGGCAACACTAGCATAGACTGATCTTTCAATTTGTAGCATCGTATGAGACTCCTTCTTTCAGCACTTCTAGATTATATTTATCTATAAATATAAACCAATATATATATATAAATACAAATGTAAAATCATCCGATGTCCGCCTAATGGCGTCATTTTTCTCTTCACATTTTTCTCTGGCTAGATAAAACAATACAGTCACGTATATAGGTAGGTATAGAAATTATTTAGCTAATGTACTTTGAGTGTATGTAAAAGACACAAAGGAATGTTTATTCAGATAGAAAAATCATAAATATTCTACATATAACTTTATACACCTACTCTACTCCGTCTTAGCCGTTATTATTATTATTATTAATTATCAGGTGATTTTATAAAACATCCTAGCACCTTTCTAAAGATAATTAAATCACTAAGGCTAATTGGATTATGAGAATAAAAAAGAAAGTTTTGCTGGGTATGAGTATATATCACAAACCTGTGTTCTCTCTAGAAATCCGATAATCATAACATTTCTAAGCATTTTTGGTACTAAAAAAACTAGCTACAAGAGGGCTGTAGAAGATTTGGACTCCATGAATGATATATATTTGATATCATGCAAACTTGAAAATTTAAAAGTGAAAATCAGCAGTTTGACAGAAGAAACAGTGAAGATATGACTTCACACGACACAGATGACGATTTCAAAGCTAACCAAGATCGGATCAGAAAAGCATGACATTCATTTAATTATCTGAGATTATTATTATTGTTCCCTTGGGTTCCTAGTGGAACATAGGGCTTCAACTGCACGCCTCCACTTGCTTCTGTCTTCTGCTGTATTTTTCACTTGCATCCATGTTAATCCATACTGTTTCAGTTCCTCATCACACGATCTCCTCCATGTCACTCCTGGACGTCCCACTCGCCGCTTCCCCTTCGGGTTCCACTCGAGAGCCTGACGCGCGATGTCACCCAACGGCCTCCTCAGAGAGTGTCCAATCCATCTCCACTTTCTCCTGCATATTTGTTTGGCGATTGGCTCCTGTTTTGTTTGTTCCCATAGTTTCTTCTTGGTGATTCTTTCCGGCCATCTGATCTTCAGTATAGAGCGAAGACAGTTGTTGATTAAGGTCTGCAACAGGCTGTTGGAAATATTCTTTGTGACCCTCCAAGTTTCTGATCCGTATAGAAGAACTGACTTAACGTTTGCATTGAAAATCCAAATTTTGTTGTTGATGCTGAGTTGAGTGACGAAGATTTCCAGATTGGTTTCAGGTTAATGAATGTGTTTCTCGCCTTCCCGATTCTCCATTTGACATCCTCGTCCGTTCCTCCTGTTGTTGAGACAATGCTCCCAAGATAAGTGAATGAAGTAACCTCTTTCAAATCCCTCCCGTTGATGGTGGTTGTCGCTGGATGTTGCTGCTGCTGTTGTTGTTGTTGATGTTTGGTTACTTTCATAACCTCCGTCTTGTCTATGTTCACCTGCAGTCCTGTCTTTGCTGGTTCTTCGACCAGTTTGTCGGTTTTCGCTTGTAATTCTTCGATTTTGTGAGACATCAAACATAAATCATCCACGCGCGAAATCCAGGTCTTCTAGGTTCTTCACGTCGGTCCAGGATATCTCTGTCTTCTCGTTTCCCACTGTCTGACGCATAATCCAGTCTACCACAATTAGAAATATCATTGGTGATAATAAGCACCCTTGTCTGACTCCTGTGTTTACTTCAAAAACCTCGCTGAGTTTTCCGTTGTGGATCACTTGAAATGTGCTGTTGTCGTACAGCTGTTGAATAAGGTTGATGAATATTTGGGGTACGCCGTAGTACTTGAGTAGTTTTCAAATTACTTCGCGGTATTCTAACCGGTCCCAAGCCCGGATAAAGAGGGAGGGTTTGGGCGTGGTGCTAGCAACTCCACCTCCAAAACTTAACCAAATTGCTACAAAAAATTCAACGCACAAACATATTAAAAATTCTACAGCGTTGACCGCGAAGTAATTATCTGAGATTAGTGAGTTAAAATCTGCTGTACTCAACATAGGGAACAAGAACCAAGTGTTCAACACTAACACTAATGTCAGATAACTGTTTCTATATGGATGAGAAAGTTGGTGCATCACGTAAAGAATCTTCAGTAAGCTAATACAGACCTTATCAACAGCTGTCTTTACTCCATCCTCAATGTTAGGTGGCTGACTGGCGAGAATAATCAACAAGGAACTCTGTTTGTGAAACAATCAAGTACCTATTGTCCAACAAATTTGCTGTAGGAGAGGGAGATAGACTGGAGACACGCTGAAGAGGCAGCTGAGTGATACCATATAGTGCGTTGGTGACATAGCAGTTAAGACTCTCGATGACCATTCACATGGTCCAGGGTTCGATCCCTTGCCGACCCACACCTGATATGAATTGTCGGCCTGTAAAATTTGGGCTACCGATATCATATGGTGAATATTCCACACTTGTACCAAAAATACTGTATGGTTTCAAGCTATAATTAAAATTAAAATAAGAAAATAAATATGCTAGGCACATCTTCGATTGGAACCCGAATGGGAAATGAAGTGTTGGAATCCGGAAGAATAATAAAAGCAATATGACAAAAGTTTAAAATTATATATGCATATATATATATATATACTACAATGATTAACTGAAGATTTTTTGAATTTGTACAGTGATACAAATGGAATATCTACGCCTCTACTATAAATGAGATGTCCATCCCATCTTTTTATCACTCAAAATGCCTCACTTTTCATAGCTACATAGCTATACTTAGTAAAAAAAAGGGAAAATTCTCAGTAGTTAGTTTACAAACCCGGTGAATACTAAAGTTTCAAGCATGGAAATTCATACCAAATTTGAATATAGAAAAGGTGTGGAAAGAGGTTTTATTTGAGATTATAATGAAGTCCAGATGAACGTTGAAGGTAACCATTGAGAAACTCTGGTAAGTGGCAAATCAACCAAGAGACTATATTACTTAACAAATATTCAGAAGTGGTTTGATAAATTCAGAAAATCCATCCGCTGAAAACTCATGATCAAACCTTTAATCAGTCAAATCCCTGACAGCCAACACTGGAAATTATTTTTTGTTCACACCGATTAAAGAGAAGCAAACTATTCATTCTTTGGTTCCATAGTACTAACAAAAGTCAGGAACAATGAATATGCCTACTTAATTTGGTAACCTAAAACTATCAGCGAGAGAAAGGTGATATATATATATATATACAATAAACAAAACGGAATTGATTGAGAAGCAGCTCACAGACGTCTTGAAGAGAATGAAGACCTGTCAACTAATCAGTGGCGATATCTATGACCAGACCTGGCCAACAGGTTCAATAATACCAAGAGTATATGGCCTACCAGAGGTACACAAGGTTGGTCCCCCCCCCCTATTTTTTCCGTGACGTTCCCCAGCAGAATATAGGGCTTCAAGCTAGTGACGTGAAGTTTCTGTAGCAGTGTTTATTTTTACAGGATAAAGTTGCTAGCCTCATGCCCAACCTTTTGCTCTTCACCAGCATTATTTCTGGCTTAGCGGGGTAAAGAAGTGCGTCGGATGGGGATCGAACCCCGGAGCATGTGCATGGTCGGCGAGCGTCCTAACCGCTGTGCCACCGACGAACAGCGTGTTTGAAGAAATTACTACTGAGATGCTTTCTGAATGTCCAGTTTACTTTCAACGACACCATCCACAGACAAAAAGATGGTATTGCAATGGGATCTCCGTTGGGTCCACTACTATCAGACTGCTTCGTGACAAGCCTCGAGAAAGGTCTACTAAAGCCGAGCATTGACAATTTACAGCTGTATAAAAGATACGTAAATGACATATTCATTATTTGTGACAACAGTAATAACCCCAATTAACTGCTGCACACATTTAACTTTTGCCATCCAGCAATAAAATTCACTCTTGAAATGGAAAACGAATCAAAAATTCCGTTTCTTGATATGGAACTAACAAGAAGAACTGATGGGAGCCTAAGAATATTGATCCATAGAAAAGCTACTTAGAATGGTCAACTAACAAGCTTCCATAGCTGAGTACCCATTCAACAAAAGTGGAATTTAATTACATCACATGCCACCCGCATCCAACGCATCTGTAGTCCTGATGTTCCAGGAACAGAATTAGATCTGTTGAGGCAAATCTTCACCTTAAATGGGAAAAATATCAAACCAAGAATTTGGAAGAATGAAACTTTACTTGTGCCGAAAAAGAACCTTTACATGAACTTGGATTTCAAGGGAGATTTAGCAAGCGATATTCTCAAGAGAAGGTTCACATTATCTCCGAGAGGAACATTCTTTGCAGCAACGCTAAGAATAGTGTTCTCCAGTCGCCCACTGATCTGCAGAAGTCTCGAGGACACGATCCCGCATCTGACCACTTCTATGTGCATATATCAGTTCACCTGCTGCTGTGGATCCAGGAACGACGGTCGTTCGACACGCATTTTGTCCAAGAGGATTCAAGAACACTATCCAGCAAGGTTTCGAAAAGGCAATAGTGGTGCTATATGGAGTGCGTTAATTGAACACCTGGTTAACACTCATCAAACCATTTTGACAAACGCCTCCTTCAAAGTAATCTACAGAGTCAAGAACAACCTATCAAAGGCAATACGGTTTCGCCTTCTTTGTATCGATGAAGCTCTAGATATTCACAGAGAAAAACCGGACCTGTGAATTAATTAACCACTTCTATTATCATGACAACAACTTTGTTGACGTTTGATGACTTAATTTTGTTTGTTTGCCTGTTTCTTTAATTGCTTATAATTCTTGTATTCATTTAGAACTCTCACGTACTTTCGTATTCTTTACCTTGTTCCTATGTGTATCCAGAGTACAACTCAATTACCAAACTATTCATACTGTTACGTAACTCCTTTCTAACAACTGTTTGTGACAACTCATCACCTTTGTTACTACACTAATTTCATTAACATTCAATTTTCTTAACCGCTTTTGTATTACGTAACTCTTCCCAAAACTAACTAATTTTTACCTGTTTAGTAGAAAAGCCCATAACCAATTGTATTTTTCTTTTACAAACTTAATGTACA